TGCGGCCCCCATCCTCGACAAGTTTTACAGCCTGGTCGTTCCAGTCCAGCTCGCTGAGGACCTGAGGCTGCTCATTTTCCGAGATATTCATGACGGCGGCACAGGAGGAGGTTACTACTACGCGCTTGACAGCGGTGCTACATATCACAAAGCAATAATCCACAAGGGGTGAGTGACACAGAAAAGGCGGGTACGCACCCGAATTTTCGCGCGCTCTCAAGTATGCCGACGGTACCCTTGATCGCGGGCTCCAACAGCTCTGCATGCGATTTCAAATCAGAGCGGGGATCGAGAAACGTCGGAGGACACACCAGCGGGGTCATCGGCCTGGAAATGAAACGGCGACGCCGTGTGCTCGATCGCGTCTACACCCTTCACAGCCTCGTCAAACGCGCCCTCCTACAAAAACACGGCGAATTCCATCGATTTAGTCTCTACCCGGAGAAAACCGCAAATCGGCACGGTGGGACGCACCTTGGTGATATCGGGGACGACTACGAGCTCGAACTTGTCGCCGTAGGAGGCGAACAGCTCCGTGAGATGGGTGCCCTTGTCGGCAGAACGAACGGTGCCGCGGACGGAAAGTCCTTTTTCTAAGAGGGTGCGCACAACCCAGACGGCGATGTAGCCGTTTGCACCTGAAACAAGCACTTTTCCAGAGGTAACGGCGGGCATTGGGGGTTGCTGAGTGAGTGCGTCTGTTGCTGACTGAGGTAGCGGAAGAAGAAGTTGATCGGCGTCCCGACGTGCCGTTAACCGGGGTGGGATCAGATAGCAGGGATCTGGCGGGAATTTGGTGCTTGCTGGGGCGAGAAAATTTCTGGAGGATATAGCTGAGCCAACGAGATATCAAACAACAAGACGAAATCCGACTGAAGACTGACCTGTTCGGAACGACCGAATTCGGAACTGGAGTTGGATTCAATTTTATTTGACTGAACGTCGAGAAGTCGATGGCAAGGGTGTCTGTGCCGGTCATAGCACAATGCAGGTGGAGGGGAGATCTTCTGACGCAAAAACTCGACACATCCTCGTGAGTGCGGCGAGCTAACACGAACCACTATTGAAAGTCCATGCGGAGGACGGAAAGGGAGAGCTAAACCGTTGCCGAGGCCCTCCATACAGCCTTGATGGGCGCTGGTCCAACATGCGGAGTTGCGTTGCATTTGCAGCGCAGCGAATGAATTCGAAGTTGTTGACATAACTTGACGTTGCTCATACTTGAGGGACCCTCGATACACTGGCAGGACTGATCTCAGGACCACAACATGCGAGGGCTTGCTGAATGCGTACTTCAACGGTTCAACCCCTAAGATGACCGACCCACTAGATACGATCCGCTCGCCACGCGTCGGTGAGGCATAAAAAACGGGCAGCCGCAGATGAATAGTTCTAGCCAATACAAAGTTAGTTACAATGTTTGTACCCTGGCACAGTATCGCAGAACGCCGAGAGAAAAAAACGGGCTTGTGAACATGGGTCAACTGCAACTGCCGGCCTCAAGATGGTATGAGTAAAATGGAAGCCTTTGAGGACAACCAGCCGGTGTCAAATATTAATCACGTAGCCTCCAATCCAATGAACCGATTGACACTGGAAGATAAAATGGGACTCCTTCAATCGAAAAGGCTCGACCCCGAGTCGAACGAGGAACTCTTTTCAACCTTGCCTCCCCGTATTCGACCATACAGAGGGGCGGTCCAAACGCTATTGTGCCTTCCACGGAGACTTATGACGAAACTGTGGATTTTGATAGATGGCTACTGGCACTGCCAGGCAGCATCCGACTACGAACCCTCTGCTGAAAGAATCGAGGAACATTCATGGGACCCGGACCCTGCGCCAGTCTTTGTCATTGCCCTCTGAAAAGAAGTGAACAAAAAATGTATCCCTACGCCATATGTCTCGATTCCGAGTTCTCTGCGTCCGCGCCGGAGAATGCCAGTATTGAAAAGATTTCAGACGCGGTCGAACCGCTGCCGAACCTTTTTAACAATGATCGCAGCTCGAATGTGCCAGTTTCAAAGCTGAGGTGAGTGAACGAAACAATATGACATTTACAGCGTAGTTCTGTGGACCCAGAGAATCAAGAATTAAAATGGAAACTACCTCCGTTTTACCTCTGGACTTCTTTATCACAGCCGATTACGCGCGCAACGCACACAAGCGGCCATGTTGCACGTTCGGCAAAGCTGCGAAATCTGTGTTAATAACAGGAAGGGTGAATTTGAAACCGGTATCTACCAGGATATATTCAGGCAACATAAAATGGCACTCGTTACACCGGGCCCGCCCATTGCGTCGGGTCCAACGATGCCCCGTCGCACAATCATGCTCGTACCGCAGCCGCTCGACGCGCTGTTCCACTCGCTGCTGAAAAATGGCAGGCGCCGCAGCACGCGCACGAGCACCCATCTCGTTCTCAACGCGTTGCTCAGCGGTATTCAAGAGACGCGCCTCTTCCCACTGCGGACACTCGCAGTTCTTCCATCGCGCGGCGCAGAGGTAACAGAATTCCGTGCGGCAGCGGCACGTCATGTGGAAGCAGCCTTGCTGCAGGTCGATAATCTGCGCGCAGCCGGGACACGTTTGCCAGCGCTGCTGCCGCGCGAGCGCCTTCACCTGCTCTACAGCCGCGTTCTCCCCGCACATCTCGCCGGGGTGTGCAATTTGCTTGCACGAGACGCACACTTCGGTTGTGCAGCGCGGGCACGTCACGCTGTCCGAGAAGCCGGCGGTGGAGCCGAGGAATACGGAGCAGGTGGGACGGGGGCAGTACAGGCGTTCTTTGAAGATCGTGCCGAACTCGAGGGACTTCTTGTGTAGCGAGAACCGCAAACGGATATCGAGCTGGGCGTATACGCCGTCCGCGCCGTCCATCGGGAGGTTCTGGCGGCAGCATTGAAGAGGGAAAAGGGATTCATCGCCGATGCAAGAAGTGGCGAGGTTCGATAGGCAACCACGGCAATAGAAATGATCGCACGGTGCTCTGAAGGAGCTTGCAGGTCGTAGGTCATCTCTGCAAATAACACAGTGTGCTCTATTGCATCGTAAATAACGGTTAGCCCTACTGGGTAGCGGGCGTTACGCACCTGGCTGGCCTCGTCTTACGAACCTGCACCGGTGCAGTGGCCTGCACATCTTCGACATCGTCTACATCGTCGGCGACATCACCGACATCTTGACTACAGATAAAGTCAGACCAGTCCGATCTTACATCGCACAAGACGGACCTGAGTAGCGAGAACTCCCGATCTTCCAACAACCTCTGAACCTCGGATTGCGCCGGCAGTTCCGTGCCGTTATTGAGGGCTTCCGCATACAGGTGATCATCGCGCACTCCCTCCTCAACGACGGAGAGAACAGCCAGGATGGGCTGATCTAGTTCCAATGCACTGTCGATGCTCCGGGCAAGCTCTAGATCTTGGTAAAATCGCAGGGTTTTCTGCGTCTCTTCCGCGTACGCTCTCAAGGCGTACTCTCCATCCGAAAGTGGGTCGTTCTCGCAACCTTCGCCCTTGCTGGAGTCACGGATGTCGTCGAGATCCTCGAGCGCGAGGCGGGAGATGAGCGCGGCGGTCTCAGCATCGAGGTCGTGCGTGGCAGACATGGGGGAAGAAAGGAAGAAAGGTCTCCGCCGAGCACGAGGCGGCGCTTCGGCCATGAAAGACAATCTGGCGTAAACACTGGAATGATTGGTTCGTCGTTGACGCCAGGGTTGTTTCAAGGGTCTTCTCTTTGTCGTTTAATTAGCCATTTATGTAAGGCCATTCTGATGTTACGGGTTTCGCGACCACTTTGAACCAAACATAGCGTGTCTATTGTAGACGATGCCTCGCTGAGGAGCTTCAAGCAACGTTGACTCGGAAATGACTGGTTCCACGCTCAAGCGCCGCAAGCGCTTGGCCAAAGATAACGGGGGTTTAAATCGGCATGGCATCAGTGTGAGAGTCGTCAGCCATTTTCTCGAACTTGCGGAAATCTTGGCCGCGATCCGTCGTTGGAGTGGAAGATCGCAACCTGAAGCCCTATCCGAGTTGTTAGGACGGAGGAAGGTTTGTCACAATTCGCGCACACCGACGCCCGACTCCGGCTCGAGTCGTATTGATTTTATTCCCTTCGGGATATCCCTAGACCCTACTAGTCTCCTGCAGTCAGACTCCACGAGTTTTATGGCAGTCGATAAAACTTACATACCCTAGACCCCAGAAGAAGTAGCAACTAGGCCAGAACGCCGAGTACTGGCAAACCTGTGCTTGTTACCCAGGTAATCTTCAAGCGGGACATTCTATCAGATTGGGAGGAGAGAGTGGCCTGAAATCTGAGGGAGAAGAGAAGACCACAAATTGAGCCCCAAAGCGCCCGAATCGGAGAACGACATGGTGGTCAACTCCAGGGTCGAGGCACAGGATAACGGTGCACGTGTCATCCACGTGTCGTGACAGTCACGCCTGGCACTTGGTTCTTCCGAAGTCCGCTCACGAGTCACGACCGCGACTCTCCAACTGGCAATTCCTGGACCTGCTTTCCGAGCCATGTTCGCACACTTGGAGATATGGAAGGTCTGAACTGGAACAACCGCCTGCCGGAGAATATACCCAGCTCGGCTTTTGACCTCGCGAAGTCGAGTCTTTGTCAACTTGAAGTCGTGCTCCAAATTCCCTCAATTTGCACCAAGAATCGATAGCTGAGATTTCCAGCTAAAACGAGACAAGGACGCCAAGAATGCAAACTCTTGGTGGTGGGATACGGAAGCTCAACGTACGGTGCGTCTCACACCCACTAATTGCGATCTGTCCACTGACTCGTCCAGCTATCAGCCAAACCAGAACTATTTATTTCTCCGCTCTCATTTCTGGTCTTCCACCCTAAAACCATCGATCGAGGAGGTAGATAGATCTCATGCCTGGACTGCGAGTGAGACAAGGAGGATTCCAAAGAAATATTCTTGGGTTGAATGTTGCGGCGAAGTGTACACGCCACGGGGACCCTCACACCATGGCCGGCTGGCGAAATGGCATCGCGTCTGACTACGATGACACGCTACGTAATCAGGAGATTTCAGGTTCGACCTCTGAGTCGGTCAGCTTTTTCCCACGGGAGCGTGATGTATTATTGATCAGATCAAAAGTTTTTGCCGACCAGTTTTTTGCGTGTTTGCCGACGACCTGATGCACCGAGTGTGTATACGACAGTGAGACGAGAGCAAAGTAAACTCGATCATGTCATGGGATCAAAAGTTTTTTTCCGGGTCCAAGGTTTTTTGCCGGTTCCACAAGTTTTTTGTCGGTTTTGATGGCAAGTTTTTTGCTGGTTCTCTGCTTGTTCCTGCGCTTCAACGCGCTGCTGGGCCAATGCGCTTAGGATCTATGATGGTTCGACAATACGCACGTCGCGTTTAGGTCCTCATGCAAGTGTCAGCACGGTCTTGGACGGGTTTCAACAGCGGGCCCGCATTCTCGTTGTCGCGTGTTCCACATACTCGCTGGCCCGGAATTTAACTTCGCCGGCCTGGTCTACCCCTTTGCTTGTTCTCAAATAAAAAGTTTTTTGCTGGTTCTGACTTTGTTGCCGACCCTTGCGTGTACACTCGTACCTGCAACTTTTTTGCTGCCTCACACTTGTCGTGGTTCTGACGGTGTTACCGACACCTGCGACCTGCAACTTTTTACTGCTGCCTCGCTCTTATCGACCCTTTTTTTTGCCGACTCGTCGCGATGTTCTTTTTTGCTGGCTCACTCTTTGCTTAGGGTGACGACTCCCGCTTTGCGCTTCATATTCTTTTTTGCCGACTCGCGCTTTGAACTTTTTTGCACTTTTTGCCGACTCGCGCCTGCGGCACTGATATCATATTCTTTTTTGCCGACTCGCGCCTGCGGCGCTGATGTTATATTCTTTTTTGCCGACTCGCGCTTCGCGCTCGTTGCGCGCCCTGATCGGTGCCTCGCTATAGCTCGGCAGGCCCGCCCCCGCACCTCGCAGGGCGCCTTCTCCTCCATTACAATACTCCAGGATGCGCCATGGCCCCCATTCCGCCGCTGAGCCGTTCGCAAGCTCACGTCAGCGGCTCCAGGGGGCCTATGGCGCCGCATCGACGGAGATTGCAGGTTCGAGACCTGCGGTGGTCATTCTTTTACCCCTTTTTAGTCCATTCCAACCCTGAGCATTGTTTTGAGGCAACCCCTGGCCTGTTGCAGAAAAAGTTGTTTGAAAAAAAAAAAAAGTGCAAAAATGCACTAAGTCGAAAGGGGGAATGGACCTAGTGCATTTCAGGCCTTCCCCTCTTTTTCCGTGTTTCTTTCCCTTCTCCTTAGTTCAACCTGGTTTCGCAGGGCAGGGATTTCGGTTCGGTCATTACCCGATCACTCGATCACAGAGTTCAGATAGGTAAAATAAAATTCAACTGGGTGAGTGACTAGGCTGGAGAACAGTGGCCTGGCGAACGCCTGGAAGAAGTCGCCCGAGGAAAGTTTCCCCGCGGACCAATTGGAGTCCGCAATCGTTATACAGCTTGAACTCAGCTTGAACTTGTCGCGAAGAAGCGGCCCATAAACCCTTGGGGCAAGATCAAGCATGCACAAACAAAAAAGCCACTCTCCTTTCTCGACCGTCATGTCTTACAATTTGGACTTGCTCGCTGCTGCACAGACGGCGTTTGCGAACGTCTCCCTTGGGCCGGAAAAAGATCGCATGCTACACTCCTCGCTGGCTCTCCAAATCGCGGACAAGCTCGTCAAAGAGAAAAAATACAAAGACGCGTGTGTTAACTACATCAAGGCTGCCGCTGTAATACTTGGGCGGGACGTCCCTTTTCACCCTAACAGCCCGTACCATTTGCCTGCATATGAGCAGCTGGAGTTTCGTTGGGCAATGTCGGACGTGATGCGGTGCCTCAATGGAGCCGCGGAATGCCTCATGAAGCTGAAGCAATATAAACAGGTCAGCGCTACGCTTCTTTCGTCTCTGCGCGATGAATTGACAAGCCAAGGCACTTTGGCTGGCTGCGGAGGTGGAGGTTATTGTCCGCAACTGTCAAGTCCAATTTTCGCGCGCAAATCCCGTCTTTGGTATATACACGTCACTTGTTTTGGAACCCGGCGTTGACGCAATTCTTCCAGAGTGGTTTGATTTCTGCCCGCAGATCGAGGACTATTATGTGCAGCGCCTCCGCGCGAGGGTCACATCGGAGAAAATCTACCGCAACTTGGGCAACACCGGCGCGGCGAACGAACGGAGGTGGCACAGCACCACGCTCCTGGCAGATGACAATGCGATGGAGAGCGCAGAGACGCGCAAGATATTCCAGACCATCCCACTTGACCCCGTGTATAAGCTGCGCCACCCTGACCCGGCATTGGCCAGCTCGCTTGCTGTCACCGATTCCAGCCTGCAAGTGCTAGGCTCGTGGCAAAAGGTGCCGCTGAAGAAGTCCGGCGGGATCACCTCGCGAATGGGTTTCGCCTCGTTCGTGTTTGAAGGTTTTCAATCCGACTGCTGCCCATGTTGTTTCTCTGACCGTGTCGTGCAGGACACCTGTACGTTCTCGGCGGCGAAAAATATCTCAGCGGCCCATATTATCGTGACTTCTGGTCCATAGACCTGACGGCGCTCGACGAATGGCGCGCCCTCCCCGCCTATCCCGTACGAAGATCCGTCACCGGGGACCTCGTCGGCTACTCCATGATCGTGCACAATGACTCTGCGTATCTCTTCACGGGCCGCAGGGAGCTCGACGTCTTCAACCTCCGCACCCAGAGCTGGGGATCCCTCAAAACCTCCTTCCCAGGCAGCCATGCGTGGCCGTACCCGCAAGACAAGATCGTCGACTACGCAATGTACTGCGTCCGTGGCAAAATATACATCTTCGGCGGCGCGCACGCGCTTGCCGAGATCGGCTGCACCCTACTTATGGAACTCGACATCGCGGCTCGCACGTGGACGCGCCTACACGGCACCACGCAGCCAACCGCCTCGTTCGCTGGGCCCGGCCCACGGCGGCTCGCCAGCAGCTGGGTCGGCAAGGACCAGAATACGCTCTTCGTGATGAACGGCGTCGCCGACCGCCAAGCCGCGCAGCTCTCAGGCCAGCCGCATGGCGCGATGAACTCGCAGGTGCTCGACGATTTGTGGGCGTGGGATATCGCTGCCTGGAGCTGGTCGCGGCGGCGCCTCGTGGGTAACGTGCCCGCGCCGCGTTCGGAGATGGCGTGCACCTACGTGAAGAAAATCCTGTTCAATCTGCGTGTGCTTTGTGCTGACGTTTGGGTGTGCTCTAGAACGCCGTGCTCAACAAGGTTATAACCTTTGGCGGGTACACGCCAACGTGCCCGAGTCACTTTGAGAAGAACGTCGCATATGTCTTCTCCTACTACGGCGACACATTCATCTACGGCGCGGACGCAAACTCCTCTGAACCTACTTCTCCCACCAATATCAATGCGCCGTCGTGGAAACACGTACTCACGCGCGGCTTTCCAACCTACCGCGCGCAGGCGCACCTCGTCGCCGACCCCGACACAGGGCGCACCTTCCTCTTCGGCGGGTATGTCAACTCGGAGTACGTGCCGTCCCGCAGCGGCACCGGCACTCAGCTCCAGCACGAGGCGCGCATCTTCGGCGACTTGTGGGAGCTAAGGCTTGACGTGCCTGGCGGACATTTCGCCGACGTGGATGTGGAAGAGGAGGCAAGGACGGCACGCGTCGGGCCGTGGCAGAGGTGTTTTGCTTGTGGCTCAGCTGGCCCGTGGAAGAAGTGTGGAGGTGTGTTTCTTTTTAGTGTTGGTGCTTGCACAAGGTCATTTCTGATATGTGAGGACGCAGGGAGTTGCAAAGGCGAGGCGTTCTTTTGCGATGCGCGGTGTCTGAAAGATGGGTGGAAGGAGCACAAGACCAAGCATAAATGTTCCAAGTGACCAGCCGGTGGGGGTTTATGCTGTGAGCCACAATTGATAAGTCACTTGTGGGTTCCAGTGCGCTTGTTAAGATTTGAGTTAATATATCGTAGGCGGGACAAACGAAACTCTGTCTCCTTTCTCGATCTCACGTCTGCGTTACGGGTGGCAGCATACAAAGAGTCCGGTGCGGTTCTGACCTGTCGCAAAGGCAATATCGTTCATATATTCTCGTCCCCTCGTCTTTGGAAGGGCTCGATAGCTACTGGACCGCACCTGTACCGGATGTCGAGTTTTAGACTTGCAGGAACACCCGTTCCTCTTTGGCTCGCGCTTTTCCATGGCAATCGCGAGTATTTTTTTTCTTTGCACCCTTTCCTTTTCAGATCGGCACTTTCCTTCCCAAAGAGGTCCCCAAAAAAACGCTAACTGATAATTAGTAAACAAGAGCCTTCCGAGTCATCCACATATTCACTCTCATTTTGAAAGGCTCACTAGCGGTGGCGAATCTGTGAGGAACTTGCACGCAGGGACGAACACCCGTTCAATTATTCCATGGTCAAGAGGAAAAAAGCGCTTTCCCTCCGTTTTACGCGGCTGGGGTGAGTCCAGCCAAGCTTTCAGTTTCGTGCTGAACGAACTTCATATGTAGACGCTACAACAGGTAGAGATCGAACTTACTGTAAGGTATGTATGTATACCAAACGAATTAAAGACGGATCCGTCGCTATGTGTATTGCATGGATATACCAGATATCTCAAGAGCAACGGGGCCCCAAAAGAAGACGGACAGGGACAAACTATCACCGGTGACTGCGCATATCACTCTCCCGCACTGAATGTGGATTAGCATCCCCGCCTCCTCCTTTGGAAAGCCATGGGTCCGTGGGGAGTGCCAATGGCGATAATGCGAGAGGAGACAGCGGCGTAATCGGGGAACGCGCCGACGAAACGCTCCAGGTAGCACTGGGCGGGGAGGAGGCACTGTACGGGTGCGCGCGGAATCCAGGCAAAAACGCTCTGGGCGAAATTGGGGAGTCGGCAGAATTTGGATCGGAATCTGAGCGTGAGTGCGGGTTGTGGTTGCGCCAATGCCTCCGCATATTGGAGTTGACGTTGAAGGCGCGGCCGCAGTCCGGATAGGGGCAGCGGTACGCTGGAGACAGTTCGTTTAATTTGTAAATATGAATAGGAG